TGTGTGTTAAAATGTCTAACTATTTAATTCTCCCTGAATTTGCTGGTCTAGATCTGACCTTTCATGTCAGGCTAATGTAATTTTTGTGTTTAACAGTATATATTACTCTTACTAATGGATTGGCATGTAGACATCTTGATTAAATATTTTCAGATAGGTAATAATGTCAAAGCAAAGGTGCTTATAATTATAGTTCTAACCTGTTTTTAGTCTAAATTTGCAGAAACTAGTCCATTTTCACGGTCCTTGCTACAGTAAGGAGAACAAATAGTCTTGATTTTCTGTTTAAAACTGTGATTCAGACTAGAATATGTGCAATGAAGTCAGTTGCTAGTATTGCAGCACACAGCTAGTGTGTGTCACTTCTGAGGAAATAGATGAGTATTGCAGGTAGGTTCTCTTGAAACGGAAAGACTGAGGAAATAAAGTGGGCATTTCCTCAACTAAATATATTGATTATCAGTCAATAGCTGTAAGTACCTATGATCTTGGAAAGCCTAAAACACTGAAGTTCTCAAAGGGAGAGAAGAAAAGGGAGAGAGACTATTTCACTGTTGCATCAAAAAATAAATTGTAAAATTACATTTTGTGTTCTTTTTGTCATTCACATTCAGTGTGAACTTTAGATTTTATGATCTATTACATGAAAACAGTTTTGATGTTCTGTTCTTTACAATATACTAAAAGTTAATGGAAAGAGACAAAATACAATTCAGCTACTGTGGAACTACTCCGCAACCAGCAAAATAAATCAGAATTAGCTGTCATTAAATGACTTATACCTGTAACTTTCTTTATTCTTATTGATATAATCAACTGGAAAATAAAAAGTACACTCATTTTTATGATACTCTTAAAAGAAAAATTCTTACAAAAATATTTGAATCTATTGATATTGTATATATTTTATATATATATTTTTTACCTTATGTATATATTCAAACTCTTTTATTTAACATAGAGGCTATTCATTGATTCTTTAAGAGATTTTAAAGTAATTTTCTCTTAGTTTCATAACTGAAAAATTTATAGCTTTTACAGCTGTAAATCATGTAAAATCTGGAAAGAACTTTCATCAAGTTTGTGTTGAGCTTTGTTTAATGACAAGTTGACTTTACTGCAGCAGCCCATTAAAATTTTCAAATTGCTCCAAGACCAAAAAAATCCAAGGGAATGAGTGATTTATAGTACTGTGCCTTCCTACTTTCGAAGCCACATCTAGCAGCCCCCGTCCGGGCAGCACGCCGTAGTGCCTCGCACATGTGGTTTGATGGACCTACACTGAACCAACTGATTTCTTGATTCTTGTATTCCGGGCAAAGATACTTCAGTTTTGGTTACATTCTGGCTTCCTTCTGCTTCCAGGGAACAGGTTCATCTCCACCTGAAAGCAACTTTGTCCCTTGAAGGAATGAGGTTACTTCTGGGGAGAGATACCATAAAGCTACCCAGGAACTCACTGAGGGCTAAGCGTACTGTCCCGGTGGCCTGGAGCTGCCCCGTCAGTGTGTAATACAATCCCGAGTCAGCTAGTGTTTACCTGTTTATGGCCTTGGGGTAGGAGGTAGAATTTGTTCTTTAAAACTCATCAGTGAGGAAAATTTTAGAGGATAATCTCCACAAAGAACGTTTTGTACACTATTTGTTCCCCTTGTTTTCTCATCAATGAAGTTATAGTCAAACTAAGGAAAATGCTGTAAATGTTAACAGCATAAACAGATGTATCTGAGCTCTGGAGTGGATTTACCAATAATGGAAAAGTATCTGTAATATTTCAGGTCAGAATTGCCTTTAAACTCTTTCACTGTAATATAGGAAATAACTCATTCCTCACTCAGCAGCTTCATGTCCTTCATAGCAAAGACTCCAAGAGGAAACTCACATGATAAAAAGGACTGATAGGAATGAGGACTCATTTAGCAGCATTGATGAAAATAAGATACTTTTTTTCTAATGGAGCTTCAGTTTCTTGCCTTCCATATCAAATATCCATTTGAACTGAACCACTCTCAAGAGATTTCATTTCACTTCACTGTTCCTTAGAGGCAGCATCCGTCCTGCTCTCATCGTAAGTTATTCTGGAGAATGAAGCTCTTTAGAGGTCAGATACAGAAAATGCCAGAACAAACTACAAGCTTACTCTGAGAGCATTTAAACCAGTTTCTGGTTTTATACTGCTTTGGTAATGGAAAGACAAATTTTTAGAAAGCAATTCAACTGTCCATGTACTCTGTCTTACTTCTTTTAAAAAACCTGAAAAAGAGAAAATAGCATTTGTTACATTGTGGATTTGTTTTTTGCATTTGTTTTGATCATAAGATTTCAGCTTCCCAACCTACTCCTTACAGAATTGGCTTATAATAATCAAAGTATACTTGAATCAGTCAACATTTTTTTTTTCTGAAAGGCTGTGTCCTGATTGTGCTACTTATCATTTTATCCCACCCGTTAAGCTTAGCTTACCTATTAATAAGGTATGATAAGAGAATTGAAACAGTACATGGTATTTCACTGAATCTTTTCTATTCATGAATATAAAGTTTCATCTGGATTTTGATGTATGCATAATCCATTAAAGCTATGATAAATCGCATACTTTGATTTCTGAATGGATTTTGTTTCACTGTGGCAACCCACATATTTAAATAGAGAGAAAAACAAGCATTTACTTGTATATCTATACTCAGGATTTACTGCCTACTTATAATTACTGGATTGCCAAAAAAAAAAAGGATGACTGCTAGAGGTGTTTTTCATTGGTGAGAAATGTTACAGAAGAGCAAATAAAGATAATTGACCCTAATAAATCCTCTTCATGTGCATTAAGCATTTTACATGCCTATTTATTCAGTTTTGAATCTCAGCTGTGATCAGAGTAAGAGAATACAGGCAGAGGAAAAGGAACATTTGTTTTATTTAGAAATACTAGAGTGATATTTTTGACATCTTAAATTGATGTCGAAAGAAGCAGCAAGGGTCATAATTTATATGAATAGGTATCTTTCCAGAACTCAAGCAAGAGAAAAATAAATAGCTTTATGGCTAGCTTCGGGGTTTCATTCCGGTAGTAGCAGTTTCTCTTTCTGCTGTTTATTCTATCTTGTTCTGTCAGCCTAGTTTGTATTTCTCACTAGAAAGTCTTCTTTAAGATCAATAGGAATATTGTTGTTTTCCAAATGTTCCTAAAATCCATGATGGTCTTTCAAGTTTTCTGCTATGACTCAATCATATGACTCAGAGGCTCCAAGAATATTTACAGTCTACCTGCAATAAAAAGTCCTGGATAATGTGCCTAGGTTTATGGACAGAAAGATGGCAATATGGATGTTAGTGATTCAAACAAAAAGATGTTTCTCTTCCACCGTATTCTTGCACACAGATAATGACTAACTTAGAGTTCATTCATAATTATAATTTTTGTTTCTTTCCAAATGACAAGTATGTTTAAGGTCAATGATTCCCTATTATTGTAACCCGTCAATAAACAGAGGATGTGAAAATTAATATTCTCAACTGGTTATGTTAAACTATATATTACATGCCATTCCTATACGATAAAAAGTTGCTTGAACTCCTCAAAGATGTATACAAAGCTTAGGGAGTCTCTCAAAAAATTAGTTCAGTTCATAGCGGCGTGTGGATACAATTAACCTATTGTAGTTCATACAACTGGGTGTTATATATAAGTAGGTGAATATGTGCGTGTATATGTGTGTGTACATATACATACACATCATGCAGTGGGCAGACAAATCCTGCTCTAGCCTTTGGCTATTCTGGGCCAAAGGATGTGAGAGGCTGTTCATGCATTTTTTTCTGATATATCCCGGCATAAGAGAACGTCAGCCAGAAGGGAAAAGAATCAGTATAACGGACTTAGATGTACTTGTAGTTCCTGTGCTCTTAATTTCTTGTCCCTGAGTTGTTACTTTGGCAAAAGTGAAAGTCATGATACTTCAAGTAATCCTTCCTTGAAGAAAGAGGAGCAGGACAGCAACAATCAGCTAATCGGCACCAACCCCATTTAAGTCCCATCCAGGTAGAAAGATGAAGCTGTTTTCATCAAAGAAAAAAGGGTGAAGGTGTCAAGGATACGCTCGTTAAAAATGGCAGACTCAGCTTCTCTGGTTTGCCTTCTCAGCTCTATCAGTAATTAGGTTGGTTCAGTGATAGAAGAGATTATGATGTATAAATTGACTGATGTAGTTGGATATTTCTCCTGTGACATTTATGGTGTACATAAAAACAGTAGATTTAATTTTACGTTTACCAGGAGCAAGTAGCTAAATGCTAAGGAGTATGAAGGAGGATGAGGAAAGCTTTTTTTCCCAATTTGTCCTTTATTATTTATTTATTTATTTATTTTAACAATGCTGATAAGGTATTTTGTGATATTAAAACAATGAGTATCATTACTTTGTATATTCCTAAATAAACCATTGTTTTGTTCTATTTATTTTAATTTACAGCTGCTTTTTTCGTTTCTATTTTGTCAGTATATTTTGCCAAAATGAAATGCTAATAATCTACTTAAAAGACATTGAAGACATTAAATAAAGACATTAAATAGAACACATAGATTTCATTTTGGATGCAATCCATGAGATTGAGTAACTTCTAAGAGTAACTACATAAAGAGAGGAGATGAATACTGAGCTTCTGTAAAGGCTAAATTAAGTTTTATGCATGTTTATATGTTACATACTTGCTTAAAATTTAGCATGCTGTTACTAAGAATCTGGAGGTGATTTTTGTTACCTGAAACTCTTTCATTTCCTTAATACTGGTCAGGCCAACTAGTGCTCAGCAAGCAGAGCTCATGTACCTGATCCATCTTTATCGTAACTAGTAATAAGGAACCGTCCAGGCTTGACACATTGTCAAGACAATTATTCTCAAGGCATTACATAGTAGTTGTATCTGTCAACCCATGCAGTATGGAGTATTTTAACTGGCAGTCTTCCAAGAGCGAGCATTAATCTCAGCATCTCTTCTTCCAGTCCCTAATCATGACATTCCTGGCGTGATTGCACTAACATTGTTTGAAGACTACATCTACTGGACTGATGGGAAAACCAAGTCACTCAGCCGTGCCCACAAAACCTCTGGATTAGGCAGACTATCCCTGATAAACTCATGGCATGCCATAACAGACATCCAGGTGTACCATTCTTACAGGCAACCTGATGGTAATTACTCTTCCTGTGCTTTCCATACTCCACATTTCACTTTGCGGTTTCTAATTTAATGGCAGATTGTTGTGTCTAGTGATTTTTTTTGTTGTTGTTTCATTTTAAATTTTGGAGGTTTTGTATTAGCAACACTAAGCATAAATCTGTCATTAATGTTGTAAATCTATGTGTTATTAAATAAATGTGATGCATCTTGTTCAGTGGCATGATACAAATTTGGACTCTTAAAATGAATCTAAAGACCTTGTTATACTGACCTATACTGACCAGAAGTGCATAAATGTAAAATTACAACATGGTTCGAGTTACCAGCTGTCAACGTGGAAACAATATATTGCAAAAAAATTTTAAAGTTATTGTCGTAGGGGGTGTTAACATTACAGAAGAATACTGTTACTTAAATACTTGCAGGACTGAATGGCAGAGAATTCAGGTGTTACAATTGTGCCCAATCTCCTGGTGTCCATTGGTTTAAATTGTAACTGAAAAAAAAGACTGACTTAATGGAGCAAAAATTTGCTAATTTATCAAAAAAAAGTGTTTTTTCCCCTTTCCATTCTTTCGGTGTATGAATCTACATCCATAGCAATAATTAATTTTTGCAAACAAACAATAAATAAAGGATTTATAATTTAAAAGTAAAGAAAAAGGTTACCTCTTACCAGGTTTTGGTTGTCCCAGTAAAAAATAGTCATTTAAATTTTTTTTTTTAATAAATCAGTGATGATATTCTTTTCCTAATCTGTCCACAGTATCTAAACATCTGTGTGCCCTGAACAATGGTGGTTGCAGCCATTTATGTCTCCTAGCCCCCGAGAAGATGCATACTTGTGCCTGTCCCACAAACTTTTACCTTGCTGCAGATAACAAGACCTGCCTGTCAAACTGCACTGCCAGTCAGGTGAGTGGGAAGGGACTATGCTGTATTTTCTCCCACTTTTCAATAATGAATTCTGGTGTTCATGAAATTAGGAAAAATCAGGTCAAAGGAACAGAAGACTAGGTAACAGTTGGGAGCATGTGAAGTTTCAAATGTTTTCTCTTAAAGACTGATAATTGAAAGTAGATTTGCAAAATGCCTTTTTGTTTTCCAGAGAAAGCAGAATTTGTTCCCATTCCATGTTGATGCTTCTCTAAGTCATAAGAACAAATAAAATTAAGGTCATAAAAATGGCTTTGAAAATATATTCTTATAAATTATGAGATGTAAGAATACAAAGCATAATGTATGAAAATGATTTGGGAGTTTTCATGCATGATCAAACTATCCATAAACACAGGAAAAGGGACTCAGTCCAGTTACTAGATAGAGTTGAGAGGACCGAGTAAGAGAACCCAGAAGCTTAAAGGGAAATGGCAAAAGGTGCAATTATTTAACAATTATATCAATTAAAACATGGAATTCTTAATGTGAAGCAGCTTCCCCATTATTTGATATTAGTATGTGGTGTTTCTCCTGAAGATATAAGGTAGATTAACTAGAACACAGAGATTTCTTTATTATCGGAGAAATGCTTTAATAAAGGCCTTTGCACTCTTTTACTCAATTAGGTTAGAAAGACTGTAATAGTACATTTGGCTTTTGTAATCTGTAATTTTTCTAGATGTCCAGCTTCACTAAATGTGTATTAATGACTCCTTATGACATCCTACATCATGATGCATTTTTTCTTTCTGTGATCATTAAGGAAACAGCTTCACTGTTCATTTTAAAGAGACAGTGGTCATCTTAATTTATCTCTGATGTTTTAAAATGATGTATAATTTCATACAATTAATCCTGTTATTTCAGAAGCCCTCCCACTGTCCTCTTCTGTTTCCCATGGGGTAGTGTTTTATGTGGTTTTAATTTCATCACATCATTTCTGTTGAGACTCACTGCATATTACTTCACATTAAGGGATGAACAAGGAAGGAATTTGTAAAACAGAATGAAAGTTTTTTACATAATCTTTTTTTCTGCCCATTTCCAGCTTCTCAAATTTCTCTAGTAAATAACCACAACACTTCTTTTGTTTTTTGTTAGTTTGTTTTTTCCTCAAATTGAAATGCAAACTTACTCCATGGTGAACTAGTATTAAGATGCTAAACAGCAGATTGATTGAATGGCCCTACTCTGTTGCTAGTAGTCTGGAGAGTGCTATCACATCTTGGATCCTTCAGGAGCAGTATTTTACCACTTGGTGCCATAGAAAGGAGAGCAACGTTATGTAGAAAAAAAAGCTGTTTGCATACAGACAGTTACAAGTTAAAAGTTTTTAAGTCTCCTCTGCTATTAGGTCTCCTCATCTTCTGATTTTTAAAAGAGATTATTTTATAATCCAACAGAAGAGAGATCAGTGCCAAAAATATACTACTAGCAAAAGGTTTTGAAGGTCTTCTGTTTCTTCAGATGATGCTGTCAAATTACAGTTGCTGCTGTGGTGTGATCACTGTCTTCACCACACATCAGTAACCGTGTCTGAGGAGACGTTGTTAGACGGCTGATAACGCCGGTCTCACAGGCTACGGATTCTCAACTGCCTTTCTCAAGACCCTTCTGCTTAAATACATGTGTTTCAGTTTATCTGGAAAAAGAACAAAAGTCTGTTTCAACAGCCTGCAAAGACTATTTGAAGTGGTTGTTCTGAGTGTTACTTAAAGGATCAAATCATGCCGTAGTTAAGCTTCTATCAGTTGAAGTATGAATCAGTGCAGCGATATCATGGAAACTACAATGAGTTGTATCAACTGAAGCTTCATTGCAACATTTCTCCAAGGATATTTTATAAAATCAACAATCAGTGATGACTGATGGAACAATTCTTATATTGTTGATGTAAAAAAAAAAAAAAAGACTTTTCAAAACTTATCAAAACTTTTATTCCCTCCTTCTCTTCTTTCAAAGTTCCGGTGCAAAACTGACAAATGTATTCCATTTTGGTGGAAATGTGACACTG